GCTCTGGGCTCAGCCCCTACAGAACAATCTGGTAACACCAGCGCCGCCTCCCATGCTGGGGTTCTTTGGCCTCCAGCAACCCCCACTTCCAGCGTGCCTTCGCCAGCTCCTCCAAGGAGTCCTGGGCTGGGGAAGTTCAGCTCCAGGGCATGACACCCTCCATGCTCCAGGCCACGGAGTCTGTACGAGGAGACGCTGTTGAGGGCAGCGCGTGTGCCTAGGAACGTTCATGGCACGTGACGCAGAACGAGGCCGGGGTGCACCCAACATTTTCCTGGGGATGGGGCCCAGGTTGCATGTGCTACCTTCCCAATTTCCTCCTCAGCAGGCTCCTGCTTTATGCATGCGTTGTGTCTTGAGGGGTCCCTCCCTTCACATCGTCACGTGATACATGTATGTCCTCGCCAAGTCACCCCCTCTCCTCCTAGAGCGAGCCCAGCTGCAGCAGGGCTGGAGGAGGCAGCATGAGAAGATGGTGGCCCTGGGTTCTGGGAAGTGGGGAGCGGGTCTGGAGGCTCCCAGGGGCCAAAGCCCCAGGAGCAGTTGCTGCTCCCATTTTTGCTGTGCTGGGCCTCCTGCATCTGACCTCGGAGCACTCAGCATGCTGCTTCTTGCCATGAGCTCTCCACAGGGAGTCCCCCTCGATGGGACACCTGGGGAAGCCTGACCCCCCAAAGGGGCCATGCACCTGACCCGCACAGTCAGCAGTAATCTCAGCCAGCGGATAACACAGACGGGTTATTAGTGGTCGGGGACACAGCATAGAGTGGAGCTCGTTAGCACAGAAATTAGGAACATTCAGCAAAGTCCATCCTGGGATGGGCGGGGAACCCTAAGCCCAGAGCTCTCCCCTCCTGAGTTGCCCAACCGCAGATGGACCAGCTTCCAGCAGCTGAGCCTCAGTCATGCCCAGCTGCCCTCCTTCGTTCTCTTTCTCTTTCCCGGGCAAGCACGTCCTGGTTTTGTTCTCCAACACCTACAGCTGGCTCTCGCAGATGATGGGCCTCAGCCATAAGTTGCCAGGATATAGAGTGTCGTCCATTATCTGTGTCCAGGCAGCCAGCCGGCAGTCACACCTGCCTGCTAGAGGTCTCTGCAACGATCACACACACTTGTCCCATCACCTAGATACTTGAGTAACACACCAGGGAAACTGAGGCACACACTCTAGTCAGACAAAACATTAAGAAGCAGACATTAAGATCCCACTTCATGGAATCATAGAATATCAGGGTTGGAAAGGACCTCAGGAGGTCATTTAGTCCAACCCCCTGCTCAAAGCAGGACCAATCCCCAACTAAATCATCCCAGCCAGGGCTTCGTCAAGCTTGACCTTAAAAACCTCTAAGGAAGGAGATTCCACCACCTCCCTAGGTAACCCATTCCAGTGCTTCACCACCCTCCTAGTGAAAAAGTTTTTCCTACTATCCAACCTAAACCTTCCCCACTTTTTTGGAAGAGAAGGTTCGAGGTCTGCAGAAACAAGTATCGACCCTGCGTTGCATACGAGAAAATGAAGATTTCCTGGACAGACGTCAGGATATGCTTCAACACAGGGCCGGCTTTAGGCCGATTCAGCCGATTCGGCTGAATTGGGCTCCGCGCCAAGAGGGCCCCGCGCTGCAGCTCTCCACCCCGCCCCCAGCTCACTTCCCCCTCCTCCCCTCCCCTGAATGCTCCGCCCCCTCCCCTGCTTCCCGCGAATCAGAGATTCACGGGAAGTCTGAAAAGAAGCAGGGGCGGGCAGGCAGTACAAGGTAAGCTGGGGTGGTGGGGGTGCGAGAAGGGCTCCGGGGA